GCGATGCAGAGTTTGCTAGTTCCTACGAACACAGCAACTTGAGATTTGTGCTCAATCATAGTGTGAGAATTTCTAATTTACGCGACTTAAACCCACGAATGTTGTACTGAAGAATCTTCAAACAGCTTTCTGCAGCTCGCGGTGTGCTCCTACCTAACCATGCTTCACACAGTGTTTGTACGGTACTAGTGGAGTTATAATGCATTTGAAGGTGTTGAATTTTTCAAAATGCGCTAGCAAAATCAGCAAATCAAACCTTCTAAATGCATTAACTTTCGAGGCATGCCAAGATTTTTGTTTATTCATTTAATGCATTGAAAGGGTATTAAAAGTAGGATATGTCAGTTTTCACGCATTCAATGGAAATTTTTGATGTCAAAAAACTTCATTGGAAGGTATTATTTGATACTTATACATGCGCTTATATATCTTTTTTTGATGTCGATCGAATAGAATTAATTTAATTAATTACAAAATAATAATTTCAAAAAATAACGTGAGTTCAGACAAATATGCAGGAAGCTATAATGTTGCAAATGACAGTTTCACTTCAAAAAAGAATTATTCTATTCTCTCATATTTACATTTTCTTTTGTAGACGTAGACATGGGAATATTTCTTTTCTTCTTATGCTATCCTTTCCAAATCATTTTCACTTTTCTCTCTCCTGTGATTCTTACAAAGCGAATAAGAAATTAACCCTACTTTTAAATAGTTTCTTTAACACGAAAAAGTGTGCAAAGAAACATAAAAGTTGTTTTTGTTTTCTCTTTTTCAAGAACAAGGGAAAACGAAGAAAGAAGACTTTTTTTACTTTTTACTTACCTATGTCGAAATGAATTGCGGTCTCACTAATAGATATGGAGAGAAAAAACTTTTTTGATTTTTAAAGAAACTATTTAAAAGAGTTCTTAGGGTTAATTTTTTATTCGCTTTATAAGAACCATGGGAGAGAAAAAACTGAAAATGATCTTTAGTGAACTGGAAGTATTGCAACTATTGTTATTTTTAGAAGTTTTTCTGAGACGGATAATCTGTTTTGTTTTAATAGTATGGAGAAGATGCTACATAATTATTTAGCGTCATTTATTTGTCGACTGTGACTACAAACTCTACACTATTGCAATTCAGTACAATATCTCAAACAGTAAACATCACATTATTCCGTGCACTCCTATGTGGGATGTACATGCGTCACTCGCTGCAAATGCATCTGATGGTCGTATCATCTCTTCCGAACCTATACAAGCGCTCTCGCAAGAGCGGGAAGAATCATTCAGGAAATATATAACGGACACCAACAGGATATGGCGGAGGGAGAAAACGTCGAAAAATTAAACGAAAAATGCAAAGAAATGTTACATATAAGCTCAAGCCAAGCTATAAAAGAAAGGATTCAGCATCATACACAACAACATTTTGAACAATCATTGCTCCATGATCCAATTGGTATGGAACTGAAATCAATTCATTTAAGAATTTCAAACAGTGCAAAGAGGTTACCTTCGATTTGGCTGGTACGCTGACAGTATTAGTAGGTCCAAATAATGCTGGTAAAACTGGTCTGTTACAATCCATCCGAGTGTTTTGTAACGCCGTCAAAGGTGGGAGTCAAGGTTATTCATTTGAAACCGCTAAAAACCTGAGTCTAACACATCCGGGCATTGATATTGAAATGTGCGGTACATTCGTCGTCGAATATGCTGCTGGAGATCTAAAGAAACTTGAATTATGAACAAAAATAGAATGGTTCAGAAATAATGATGAGGACTCGGAAGAAAAAGAAAAAAGTTAAGTTCTCGTAGAGGTAATGACGGACCAAATCAAGTCTATTACTGTTCTCATTATTTTCTATTCTTCTGGACTTGGGATGATTAATTATGAATTAATCACAGCAGTTTATGGTAACCTTGAAAATTTATTTCCACAAGTTATAATATTTAATAGCAAATCGATACTTAACAGAAAGATAAAATATGTTCTAAACTATCCATCAGGAACATAATCACTAAAGCAGCTGTCTTTAACTTCATTTCTTTATTTTCTTTTATCTTCGCTGATATTTCGACCTTATCCGGTCATTTTCAAAACAGAAAACAGATTGTACAAAACTAAATGACAACTATATATAAACCTTTTTTACTTTTTCTACTCTTTTCGTTCTTCTTCTAACGCGATGACACAGTAAGAGAAGAAAGAAAGTCAATCTCTATTTATACCCTAGTGATCGATTCTTACAAAAGAATCTGATAAGGAACTTATAAGAATCCGCTATCACTCGTATAAGAATCTTATTAGATTCTTACATAAGAAGTTCGCACGAAAGTGACAAGAATTTCGTAAGAATCAGGTAAGAATCCTGTAAGAATTCGACAAGAAAAGGGCAAGAACTGACAAAAACTTCCAATGTTTTTTTTCCTTCGTTATTTAGCTGTATAGTTGG